CGTTTTAGCTATGGGTTCAATCCCGAGGCGCATTGGACGAGCTGGTACGAGCAGGAGAATTGGTGCAAGCCCGTGTTCAGCTGGCACCACACGCACAACCGGGATGTGGCCCGGTTGTACGAGCTGGAGATGCGGTGGGGCGACGTGCAGGCCCGGGGCCCCATCCGGTACAGGGACGTGTATGAGGCGATGGTGCGGCCGTACTTGCGCGAGCGGGTGGAGTGGTGGGAGAACGGCGCGGCCAAATACGATATCCGCTCCAGTAATGTCAAGGCCGTGACGGTGCCAGAAACCGTCACGAAGCCGCAGGCCTGGACGGAGGCCTGGATGTCGGTGGACCACTGCGAGACGGCCTGCGTAGCCTGGGGCGAGTGCGTGCAGTGGAGCTTCTACGAGGATCGGTGTATGCTCGATAGTATGATCCGGCTGGGAAGCGGGATCCCCGAGGGCGACTCCAGGCGTCAGAGCTCGCTACCCTGGACCAGTGGGTGGCTGACGAGGAGAGTCGAGCATTGGGACTCGGCCTGTAGTGGTAGTGACCTGTAGTGAGTAGGCAGCAACGCCGGTAGTGCGGTAGATGCCTGCGTGAGATTACCCGATCGGGAAATGTTGTATATACCCCCAGCAGAAATAAATCCTGTGAACCATTACAATCCGCCGCCTGAAGAATCAGAAACAGGGACCAGTCAATGGTCGCACGCTAAAAATACTAATTTAGCGTGTGGATCCGAGGCCAGTCTCCATCCATGGATCCCTTTTTCTCCCTCCGTCTTATCCATCCCCTCCGCCTCTCCCGCTTTCATCCACTGCAATGCTGCAGTTTACCATTTCATCATCACAGCATACCATGCAGCATACGATGGACAAACCTCGCACGGCGTGGCTGGACGGCCTCCGCGGCCTCGCCGCCGCTATCGTCGCCTTCAACCATTTCTTCATGGGCGGAATCTTCGACTTCGCCTTCCACTCCTACTGGGCGGACCCCGCGTCGGCCAACCGGCATTTCATCCAGCTGCCCCCAATCCGCCTGCTCTTCTCCGCCCACGCGATGGTGGCGCTCTTCTTCGTGATCTCGGGCTACGCTTTGAGCATCAACCTGCTTCGTCTGCGCGATGCGCCGCCGTCTTCCTCGCTGACCGCGTCGTCGTCCGCGACGAACCAGACACTACTCCGCGGACTCTCCTCCGCGACGACGCGCCGGATCTTCCGCATCTATCTGCCCGTCTTCCTTGTCGCGATTCTCTCGCAGCTGCTGTTCTTCTGCGGCTTGTATCACTGGTCGTTTGGCGACGATGTCGTCTGGGGCCGTCGGCCGTGGACCGCGCCGCTGTTTCACTTCACCTATCTCTTGCGGTATTTTTTGGATATTGTGAATATCATCCAGTTCCACCATAATCCCGGGCTGAATGGGCAGCTGTGGACGATGCCGATTGAGTTTCGCGGGAGTCTGATGGTGTACCTTGTCATTCTGGGGATGGCGTTCTGGAGGAAGGAGATGCGCGTTGGCGGAGTGTTCGTGCTGGCGGTGTATTTTCTGTGGTATGGGATCTGGGATGGGGTGGGTTTTCTGGGAGGCTTGGGGGTTGCGGAGCTTGCTCAGGGACTGCACTCGAGTAGTGAGGATGCGGTGTTGGGCGAAGGGTGGTGGGTTGGTAGGAAGGATGGCGAGGCTGGGCTGTCAAGCGCGTCAGCTGGTGGTCTCAAAGCCAAAGCGAAGACGCTGCTGACAGGATTCTGTTTTCTCATGGGGCTGCATCTGCTCTGTCTTGGGGATGATGGGGTACTTACGCCTGGGTATCGATGGCTGGGGTCTCTGCAGTCGCCCCGGTGGGATGACGACTGGGCGATTGTGAGTAAATGCTGGAAGACGGTGGGGTCGGTCTTGGTGGTGTATGCCATCGATCGTGTGGAGGTGCTGCAGAGGGTGTTGGAGAGGCCGACACCGCAGTTTCTAGGACGCATCTCGTTCTCGCTGTATCTGGTGCATCAGTCGGTGTATCATGTTGCCCGGGATCCGGTGCGGAATGGACTGTGGTGGATCCTGACCGGGCGAGAGTACCCTGCGACGGATGAGGAGGCACTTGCTGGGGGGATGGGGGTGTTTGTGGTCAGTTGGGGTGTCACGGCTGTGGTGATGGGAATCTTGGTGGTTTGGCTGTCGAGTTGGTGGACGAGGGTGGTCGATGCCAGGTGTGTGCGGCTGTCAAGGAGGATCGATGAGTGGTTGTCTCGGTAGTGTCATTTAGTAAATTCGCCCGATATGTGTCAAGCTGTCGTCGTATAGACTTTACTCCGAGTCTTCATTCCATTAGTAGACATGACAGCGGTTGTGGTCATCGAAGAATCTGATGGAATAGAAACACGCAACGGTTCATCAAGTATCACGTCAGAGCAGGTCATCCAGCAGATATTTTCTGCCAGCTGACCAGAAAATTTTCACGATTCCGCAACAATGAAGCAATAGAAAGTGCGAGAGCTGTGGATTCTCCTGCAAACCTTGCTGAGGATGAGTTGTCACTGCTGAACAAAACCAGTCCTCTTTCCTGTCTGCCTCCCTGTTCGTTTCTTCTTTTTTACAACTCTCCTTCTCCCTACTATCTCTCCTCTTCCTACTATCTCTCTTCCTATTCTCTCTTTCTACTCTCTCTTCCTACTCTCTCCCTACTCTCTCTTCTTCTCCTCTCTCTTCTTCTATTCCCTCTTCTTCTCCTCCCTCTTCTCCTCCTGCTCTTCTCCTCCTTCTCTTCTCCTCCTCCTTCTCTTCTCCTCCTCCTCCTCCTCCTCTTCTTCTCCTCCTCCTCCTCCTCCTCCTCCTCTCCTCTTCTCTATTCTTATCTCTATAAATTCTAGATACTCCTATTCTTACCTGCTCCTGCTCTCTCTTCTTCTACCCTCTTCCGCATCCCAAGCTTTTTCCTTACTTCTTTGCGCACCGTCCTCTGCGCATCCCTCCAACGCGGAGCTCGCACCTCATCGTGGTGTTGGAGTCTAGTAGCCATCGATTGGCGAAGCTAAGACGAGCTCAATAGTAGTCCACGTGATGTGTAGATCCAGTCCTCCAGCTCCCGTAGAGTCCACCAAACTGCAGGCTGAAGCCTATTTAGGTGTCTGTAAAAGTTTCCAAAACTAGCTACATTCACTGATGTTGAGGTACCAAGGAGTAATTGTAGCGACACAGTGAATGGGTCCATCCAAGTCATCTGACCATCAGTTTCTTCGTCTATATAAGTCTTTCCCGTCTCCCTCTTCTTCCTTCATTCTCCTTCCTTTCCTCCATCCTTCCTCTACCTCTCCATCCTCTTCTCTTCCATCACCTCCATCATCCTGTTCCCCATCATGTAACACATCCTTTTCATCATCCTCCATCATCATTTATATCCCATCTCCATCCTGTTTCTATCTCTATCCTGTTTCTACCTCTATCATGTATCCATCTTCATCCTGTATCCATCTACATCCTGCATCCACCTGCGTCCTGTATCCCACCTGCGTTCTGTATCCCACCTGCGTTCTGTATCCCACCTTTATCCTTCTCATCCTTTATCGTGCTTTCATCTAAACCCCTCCTTGTATACTGTCTTTTTTCGCATTCCCAAATCTTGTTTTCAGTGTGTATCCCAGTATGTATCCCAGCATGTAACCCACCGTGTACTCTCACTCCCGCCCCTCCTCCATCCTCTTCCCTCCCCCCTCCCTCCCTTCTCACCTCCGCACGACCCTTCGACAGAAGTCGAGGGTCCCTGACATCCCATACCTGTGCCAGTCGCCGTGCTATGGTCCATGTCAGGCCCCAGTTCTCCTTACCCGTTTCCAAAAAAACCAACTGGGGGGGTTCTGTGCATCCCCCAAACAGCGACGACCGATTTTGGAGTCGTGGGGGGGTGACCACAGAACCAGGCATGCTGCCAGGGATGCTCATTTTGAGATATCTGGCAAAGTGCCATGTCCTCTTCTCCAAGGTTCTGCTTGAGCTGTGGCGAGGGACTTGCGAAGAGGACACGGTCCCGAACGTCTGACAAGATGTGGGCGAACACGCGTACGGACTCAGCCTCAGCTTTGTCTTACAAACAAACGGGTGATCCCGAAACATCGTCAACAGAGTGAGGGCGTGACCTTTCCCTGAGGAAGAAAATGCTTCCCGAGGGTAGAATATGGCCTGCCCCTATCATGGGTACGGGCAGAATACTCCATGTTCGGGAGTCCTATCCGCGGGCTGGTCAAGGCAGACCACAGACCTTGTCGGGGTCTGACCACCAGGTACCTTGGCTACCAACGGTCCTGGGAGCAGCTGACGTGCGGGGACGGACTACGAGCCGGCCTGCGTTCGTGCTGGAATCAGGTCTTCAGCCAACTCGTTCGTCGGTTGGTTGAGGGACCCCGGCCAGCTCCATTGCCGCTGTGATATGGAGACTGCGCAGTTGCACCCAGACGAGAGTTGGTGGGTTCATTTCCTGGAAGCCGTCGCCGTCTGGTGGGAGTGGAACGGAATGAGTTGCCCATGATGCCCCGTCTAACGGTTCGTCTTCTTTTAGCTCAGGCCATCACCACGACCTGTGTGTTTGAGCTGGTGCCGGTGCCGGCACTAGAAGCTTGTACTGGTACTTCGTGTGCCGTGGTGCTTGAGCTGTGTGCTGGTGCTGGTGCTTGTCTCGATGCATGTGCAACTGGTGTGTGGGTGAGATTTCCTTTGTTGCCTTCTCCTCGCTACACCCGCCTCTCCTAGGATGAGCTGCTGAGCTCGTTAAGGATGAGAAGATGTAGGTGTTCTTTGGTGCTGGGTCATCGGGCTCCGTTCCGGCGGACAGATGGCGGCTGCAGCAATAGACGAAAACACATCCTTTGGGATGTTGCCTGGATGGGAGACAGGCCTCCAACGGGAGCTCGCACCTCACCGCGGTGTTGGAGTCTAGTAGCCTTTGCAAGCAAAGGCGAAGCTAAGACGAGCTCATGATCGGTCGAGGTGATCAAGTCGGCTGATTGTATCAAATTCCTTCCGCAGCGAACTACACGCGCGCAAGCATGAAGTCAACCCAAATACTGTACAGACCAATTACAATCCAGAGCTAACTACCGACGAGTACAACGTAGAAAAAGTTCCTACCGCAACCACCCCTTCACATAGGCCGGAATCCTCTCCCTCGCACCGCCCAGAAACCAGACCGAAGCGCCCAGAGCAGCCACCGCGCCCACCGCGCCAGCCACCTTGCCCACCGAGCTCCTCTCATTCCCCTCGCGGTCGAACGACGGCGTCACCTTCGGCATCATCTTGTGCATCTTCTCCACAGTATACGGCGGATACCTGGCATCCATGAACCCCTCCAGCACAGTCGGTAGTGCATTCGTGACCGTCCGCCGATACGAGAACGCCTGGATCCCATACTTCCCATGGTACGCGCCCATGCCGGCATGGCCCACACCTCCGAAGGGGGCATCTTTCGCCAAGGCGTGCAGGAGACAGTCATTGAACGTGACGCCGCCGGAGGCCGTCTCCCGCAGGATCCGGTCCTTCTCGGCCTCGACGTTCGTGAACGCGTACAAGGCCAGGGGATGCTCGAGGGAGGTGGTGAAGGCGAGCGCGGCGTCGAGGTCGGCGTCGACGATGGGGAGGATCGGGCCGAAGAGCTCCTCGGTCAGGAGGACGTCGTCCGGCCGGACGTCGACGACGATCGTGGGGCCGAAGTAGCGGGTGCTGCGGTCGCGGACGCCGCCGTAGACGATGCGGCCGGCCGTGCGGCTGAGCAGGGACTCGAGGCGGTCGAAGTTGCGGTCGTTGACGATGTGGCAGCTGTAGGGGGGCACGGTGTCGGCGCCGCCGTTGAAGGTGTCGAACCAGCGGGTGAGGGAGGCGACGAGGGCGTCGCGGACGGACGGGTGGGCGAGGATGTGGTTGACGTTGATGCAGACCTGCCGCATGCGTTTAGAAATCCCATATTCCAGAACCCAGAACCCCCAAAAAAAAGAAACGAACCTGCCCCGCCAACAGAAACTTGGCCCCCGCAATCCTCTTCCCCGCCATCTCCACATCCGCCGACTCCGTCACGATCGCCGGCCCCTGGCCCCCCAACTCCAACGTCACCGGCGTAAGATGTCTCGCCGCAGCAGCATGCACGATCTTGGCCACCTTCGCCGACCCCGTGTAGAAGATATGATCCCACCGCTGCGCCAGGATGTACTCCATCTCGCCGGGGCCCGCAGTCACACACCGGATCGCCTTCGTATCCAAATACTCGGGCATGATCCGCGCCAACACCTCCTGGGACGCGGCACTCACATCCGACGGCTTGACGATCGCCGCACACCCCGCCGCGATGGCCGCCACGAGCGGCTGCAGCGCCAGCTGAAAGGGACAGTTCCACGCGCCGATGATCAGCGTCACGCCGAGCGGCTCGGTGCGCACGACGGTGCCCCCCAGAAAATTGACGGGGTCGAGGCGCGTGGGCTTCTCGTCGGCCGTCCACGCGCTCAGGTTATCCAGGGTGTGCAGGATGTCGGCTTGCAGCATGCCGATCTCAACGATGGTGGTTTCCACTTCGCATTTGTGGAGGTCGGTTTGTAGTGCGGCCACAATGGTCGCGCGGTGGTCTTCGAGCATCCACCATAGGCGTCGGAGTTGCTGGCGCCGCCAGGGGAGGGGTTTGGTATGGCCCGTGGCGAAGGTTGTGCGGACTGTGTGCAGGGCCTTTTTTTTTTCTTTGTTAGGGAAGGGGTGGTGCGGGAGGGGGTAAGGGGGGAAGGGAAGGGGAGGGACTGACCTCGTCGAATTCGGCTTGCGTTGTGTAGGTCATTTTGTTGGTGGTTTGCGAGGCGACTCCTCTTGTGGTGGTGGTAGGATGGTTCAGTTGGAGATGCAGTGGGAAAATGAGGGGAGCTTGGCTTTTATGATGGAGAGAGCACGAGCTACCGCGGTTGTTGGTCTAGGTTCCAGGGGGGTTAGTGGTTCTTTTATCCTTTATCGCCGAGGAATGGGTGATGGGGCGGGCGCAAGGCGGGCCGTTGCTGGGCTGACAGGTCACAGCCGAGATTTCCCCACTTGCTGGCGCGCATTGGCGGCTTCGCCTGCGCTATCATCCATCGTCATTATACGCTCCCAATCCAGGGGTCCTCGGGTGGACGTTACTCTAGGCAAAATGTGATGTGATATTGCTTCCATTGGGTATACTAGAAGGTAATTTAGGTTGGGCCAAGATAAATAAATTGCCAAAGCCCATCCAAATATAAGCGGGGTGTCTGCATGTAGTTCACCGCCAAGCAAGGAACCATTTCTTCCAAGATCACTATCGCCCAAAATTTCATCTCGTACCTGCTACCACCTAGATCAAAAGGCGCTTGCCCTTCTCCAACTCCGCGATCTGCTTCTTCAATTGAGTGCGTCTTCGGCGCACCGCCGGATCCTCCCCCGCTATCTCCTGCAGGGTCTCCGCAGAGAAGCCGTGCACAAAGGCGGGCGAAATCAGCTTCATCGGTGCATTGGGCCCGTTCACCAGATGGTAATCGGCCGCTTGCATGCTGACATTGTCCACAAACCGACTCAACGCCACCTTGTAGTAGCATTCTAAGATGTCATGTAGCTCTTGCACCGTGTGGCTCTCGTTGCTCATGTCCTGTTGGTAATCGAGATCGCCGACATGGAGAATTCCGTTGACCTCTTTTCCCCCAACGTAGGCCTTCCACCGAGAATGACGTCTATCTCGGGATTAGCATGCTATTTGCTAGAAGACTAAGATTAGACAGTCTCCCTAGTCGAAGAAAAGACTCACATGTTCTGCAGGTGGTCGTTGAAATAACGGTCCAAGGTCTTCAGGGTGCCTTCCCTCTCAATGCAAAGGAGAAGCCGCACATGCTCCATTGCTTCCTTATACACCTCGAGCAAGCCGCCCATTATATGAGGTAAAAGGTTTCGAAAGACCCGTCGATCCGCAAGCGAGATTTCTAAATTGCGCATGATGAATTTGTGGACAACGACAATAATGTCACTGAGATAGCCTAGCGCGATGCTTTGCCACTTTATGGTCTGCTGGTTGAAGGCATTGGTCAACATGGGGATGCTAAAACTATTCAATTCAAACCCTCGTGAGTTGTGATATTCATCTCGCAGCCATTCATGAATGCCCTGCCTCAAGGGCTTCTCTATTATTTCCTGGTTGGTGAGAACATCCTCGAGCTCCATGACGGGCTCAGTCATCCGGGTCTTGAATCTGGTAGGGCGTGAGCCGGGGTGATCAAGCTCCCCTTCTCCGGTAGAATGGAAATTCAAAGCTCCTGGTCGTGTGCTAGCAGAGAACTGCGCAGGTTCGTCTCCACCGCTCTCTGGGGACACGATTTCAACATCGTCGCGGATGCTGTTTACCTTGAATTCGTATTTGTGACCCCATTTTTCGAAGTATCGGGCGAAAAGTACTTCCCGGTTGACCACCAAAGTTGCGAGGCGAAGCTCCTTGTACTTGGTGAAGTTCTCATCCGCACCATAGTGTGTGCCTAGAGCTTGGGTTGTCATAATGTTGAACCTGGTCACCGCATCCAGGAGATATCTTAGTTGCTGGCTGGTAGTATCCCTCTCACTACTCAGCGCGACCAGACCTGTTTTGGCTTCCTTGAGCTTCCTGTTGATTTCAGCTCGGACCTGCGATATTGTTAGCGCAGCTCACTTATGTTTGTCAACTATGCTACTGACCATAGGAAATGTCCTTCTGGCATTCTCAGTGACCGTATCCTGCAAGCGCGTTTTCAAGGAGCTGATGCCGTATCTGTCCACGGCCACTGTGCTCCACAACTCAGTCTTACCAAATTCGGCTTCTGCGGTGTCTCTGTCGACAATTCCTTTCTCCATCTCTCTTTGCCCCAGGTTTCGAACCAGAATCCAGCCATATTTCAAGGGAAGCTCACGCCCGGCGATGATGTCCAGGATCTTCTGCTCGGCTCCTTTGTCAACGAGATCGGGTTTAGTCAAGACACCCAAGGTCCGCTCCCCGTCGGGATCTACCTCCCGTGCCATCTCGATGATCTCCTGATTTGCCACATCCACATTAGCCGCAACGACTGTCAACAGGATGGACCGCGGGTTTCTCATGTATCCCAGGACCATTTCCCTCACGAGCTGGATGTCAGCTTTGGTTGTGCGCCCCGGTGTAGTCAACTTGAAGATACCAGGGACGTCAATGACGCTGAGATGGTCCTCGTCGGGTCCGCAGATTTCCAGCCGCAATATGTCTTTGGAAAATGTCAACTTGGTAGGCTTGTCAGGGGTGGAGACGCCCATCAGTCTGTGCGCCTGAATTTCCATCAGCATTCCACACGTGGCAGGTATTGTCCCGAGTTGATTGCGCCAACGACCGCCACCCTTTTCTGCATAACCAGCTTACCCGCACCCCTCTGATTGTAGATACTGAAAGCGGTGCTTACCTCCTCCAGTATCGCAGCAAAGGCGACTGGACTCAGGCTGCCCTCGAAGCTTCTATCCCAAGCCTGTAGCTCTCCTGCCCTTGTTGGATGTGAATCCGACGCGGGAATAATAGACGAAGAGATCCTTCTGGTCGTAAGGTTTTTGTTACGGCGGAAGATGAGCTGAGTTGCGAAACGGGTGCATAGCCCACTGTCGCGGGGGAATGGTAGCCGGGTGAGACCCTCGAGAACAGAGCTTTTGCCGCTTGACTGGTCTCCCACGACAACCAGCTGGGGAAGATTGATGTATTCTCCAATATTGCATGCAAATAGACTGTCTATCTTGTCCAGTAAAGCGGGGTCGGCCAGGCTGGTATAGCCTGGGGCTTCCTCTTCGAACATCTCGGTAGGTACTGAGTGGTGGATGGCGCTGTTGGATGCTTCTGGAGGATTGCAAGTGTGCGAGTCGTCTTGAGGATATAGGGGATTGTTCTGAATCTCTGGTGTAGGCCGAAGAAATGGTGGTTCCGCGTAAGGTAGGAGAGGGTTGAGAAGGTTGTAGATGGTTGAAGATAAATGCAGATTGTTGAGGAAGAACGTGGTGGATATGAGATATGTAGTTAGAGACGGGTGAAGTGAGTGAGAAGCAAGATCAGTTGCAGAAGATAGTCTTCAAGTCTTGATGATGATACAAGGGAGGTTGGGTCCATTGAATCAGGAGAAGCTGCAGTCACACAGGTCACTCCGGCTTCACTTTGAAAATCGGATGGCCGAAGCAGCATTGGATTACTGACCACCATCCAATTTCACTGGCATTTATCTTGAAGTCAGTCCAAGTCAGCTTACAGAAGAAAGAAAGGGTTGAGTGGTGAGGTAGAGAGAAGTGCCGAACGACTGTGTAGAAGTAATGGGTAAGGCCTACCTGCCGTCCGGGAGGGCGGGAAGCCAACAACATCCCTTCTAGCCTCATGATTCACGTATTCTGGAGCTGTGACCATTGCCATAAGATGGCTTCACACACTACGCGATGCCGAGCATCTTTCTTCTTGATGTTCTTCAAATTAAGACACGCCCAACAATCTTCTGCAAAAGCAGAGCCTCCTTCAAGGCCCATCCCTCCGAATCTGGATATCTCGTGTCACCTATGTGTTTAGTCGTCAGTCTAGAAACCTCCCTCCTGATATCAAGCACTGCCTAACTCTTCATTCATTATGTAGAGTCGGAAGCCCTTCCGGCGAACCACAGATCGCCTCACTCAGCCAGAGCCAATCATCGCTCGATTTTGCCGATGTTCGCCGAAACCATAGCATTGATTTCCAATCAACAAGACAATCAATCGGGATAGCACTACAATTTTCAATGGTGATTATTATGAGATTAAAGAATCATGTCGTTATGGGACAGATTGTGACCCACCAGACCTTTTATCAAGCGCCCAGTATCCTCCATGGAAGGCCAATGCTTCCTGTCCTGTCCGTGATCTTTCACGCCCTCAGACCTTGCACCCGACCCTGCCCCAATATCACCGATTTCCCATGCTAGAAAAATCGCGCAAAAGTTCTCTCCGGAGAGCATCTGAGGGTGCGGAAATGCCAGGTACCACATACCCTGAGGGAGGGGTTGAGGCCTGGGCTGTTGTGCTTGGAGCATGGTGCGCCATGATCCCATCCATGGGTCTGCTCAATAGTCTAGGTATCTTGCATGCATGGACGAGTAAGCATCAACTTGCGGACTACTCTGAGTCGAGCATTGGCTGGATCTATGGGGCATATGGGTTCTTCTTGTATGCTGCTGGAGCGCAAGCTGGTAGGTCAGTCTAGTCATTCTGACAAGCTAGTACTGAGTAGCAACTAGGACCAATATTCGACGCCTATGGACCCAACTATGTCATTATCCCAGGCTCGATTGGGATTGTTGTCGCTTTGGTCTGCTTGAGTTTCAGTCAAGGTAACCTTGTTTGCCTTCCCTTGACAAGGAAACCCAGCCAGCTAACAGAATCAAGAGTACTACCAAATATTCCTCTCCTTCAGTGTCCTAGGCGGACTTTCCGCGTGCACTCTCTTTACTCCGGCAGTCTTTTGCGTGGGACACTGGTTCGACAAACGAAGAGGCTACGCGACCGGGATTGCTTGTACCGCTGGTGGCCTAGGAGGAGTCATCTTCCCCCTGATCATTCTCTTCGCTGCGCCCAAGATCGGCTTCGCCTGGGCAATTCGCATCATTGCGCTTCTTTCTGCTATTCTTTGTCTGATTGCTTGTCTGACGCTGAAAACACGAATCCCTCGCAACAAAGGAGCCAGCGCATCTATCGATCTGCGCGCCCTGCGGGATGGAAAATACGCCGCTACAACAATAGCGGTTTTCCTCGTAGAATTTGCTGTGTTCATTCCGATAACTTATATTACCTCGTATGCAATTCACGTTGGACTGAGTGACACGCTTTCCTACGCTCTGATTGTCTTTCTCAATTTAGGCGCCATCCCGGGACGCTTCCTCCCTGGCCTCATAGCCGATCGGATCGGGAGGTTCAATGTGATGGTTTTGACTTCCATTGTGTGTGCGGCGCTCACTCTAGCTCTATGGCTTGCTTCTGGCGACAATATTGCTGCTATTGTCTCTTACGCAGTTTTCTTTGGTTTCTGGAGCGGCGCTGCAATTAGCCTCACACCTGTTTGTATATCGCAGATCTGTGAGACGCGGGACTTGGGCAAGAGGACCGGAACGACGTTCACAATCGCCAGTGTAGGAACACTGACTGGCATTCCAATTGCAGGGGCGATTCAGCAGCAAGATCATGGTGATTACTGGGGCCTTATTGTGTTTGGAGGTGTGCTGTATGCTGCTGCTGCCGTGGCGTTCGCTATTGCTCGGGGTGTTTGTGCGGGGTGGGCTTTGAGGACAAGGTTCTGAAGGCATTTACACTTAAGCTCCACTTTGATGCATGGACATGCTTAAAAATTGTTGTCGAGGTCAACCCTTGTGAAGCTACCCAATATATGAGGGAAGATAGGAGATGATTGTCGATGATATAGATAGATGCCGTTATAGAATCAAGGAAAACCGTTACGATTGTATAGATGGCTCTGTGGATTCAAGTGTGCCAAGTCATTGTCGATTAGTCTCTGACAAAGCATCCTTGTGATCATGCTCATTCTCTCGTGTCTCAAGACAAAATAGAGATGTGGCCGCCTTACGCGAACCCGACAGGGCAAATATCCGGCGAATTGGTGCATAGCCAAAGCTTTCGGCGGAGCAAGGATTCATGTCAGCAAGCTCTAGCATCAGTGCTTCTCGGCTGACAGCACTATGCTCCATCTGGCAACCATGTTCAGGTCGACACGTCCGCCAACAATGTCCCTAATTCCCTTGTAGCGTCCCCTGCTGGAAATTATCGGCGAGCTACTGCGTAATCTGATAAATCTTCGCATTTAAACAGCGTCATTTCAGACATATAAACTGGGCTCGCCCTCTTTAAATGCTCAAGTTTACTTATCACACCCTCTCTATTGTTGTCTTCGCATCATGACTCTCAAAGACAAAGCAATCAACATCAAAGCCCGATTTCATCTCCTCTTTCGTCATTCAAACAACGCTACAAGCACTAGACCCACATATCATGACTTTTCTTCCACAGCGACATTGGACGATGAGTAAGCCATTGTCTCCTACTATATCCAGCTTGCTGACTTGAATGACTAGAAATTTCAAAGACGTGGTCATAACCTACATATGGCAGACCCAAGGACACAAGTCGTCTACTCCTGCGCCGTACAATGGTAAGTATGGTTCGATCTCCCTTAGTCATTTTAGAGAGACTGCTGGGCTAATGCGACAGAAAGGCGATCAATGCTTTGGTTCCTGCTGTCGGGGAAATGGGTACCGTTGGTAGATAGTAGAATGCAGAGCTTGTGATAGTATAATTCATGAAGTGAACAGACCCAGATATTAGTCTTCGCTTCTTGGTTATCATCGACCTATGATAGTGGTAGTACTGGCTCGAATTCATCATCAAACTGTCTGCAGTAGTTCAGGAATCTCCTTTGCTCCAGTCTATTCTATAATAGTTAGCAACTACTTTAACCAACTGGTATTCAGTCCAGATAACCCTTCGGGTGGTGAAAGTGGTCCCAATTGCGTGTCTGCAGGCATTGATTGTCATCAGCCTTCGCCCGTACAATCTAAATACATCTTAAACGATCAACCATGCTCTTCTTTCTGAGAATTGTCAAGTTTCTTTCTATGTCTTGAGTGCAGCCATTGCTGAATAAAACTGTAGGGTCCGCGCCTTCCGACAACATGAACCAAGAATTCGGCGGTCCGTTCCAGCGGCAACCGAATCAGACGACAAGTTCGCCGAACTCTCGGCCAACGTCGCTTATCCTCTTCTTAAACTCGACATATACTTACTTTGTTCTCCATTCCAATTTCTGTTTCTTTCCCCTTCAGCTGCACTCGAACTAGGTGACATGGAGCCAGAACCTCCGCATTCGACCAATGCCGTTCGCCGTAGACCGAACAACTCCCGCCCATACCGGTCAAAGCGACATCCGCCGTGCGACGAATGCCGTCGGAAGAAATTACGATGTCAGGCAGACAGTCACAGCAGCTGCCAGAGGTGTCTGACTGCTGGCTATCCTTGTTCTTTTGCCTACCCTCTCCACCGGCACCCTGGTGCAGCGCTGTCAAGGTCGAGCGTATCATCAACACAACAAGTGGCGACCATCAATTTTACTCAACCTGAGCAGGTCTCAGCGGCTCAGCAATCACAATCAGCACATCTGTCAACTAGCTCACCGCCATTGGACCTGTTTACGCCTGACCCTACGGGTATTCCTTCGGCTTCTGTTGATACTCGCGCCCAGACGCCGTATCCTTTCGTCGAAAGGCACACACACCAAACCATTCAGACCCTCGATGGCTTGGATGGATTCTCATACCAAGTTATTGGCGCTTCGGGAGAGTCAGATCCGTGGCTGCTGAGGCACTGCAAGTTCAATGATAAAGGATTCCTTCTGTCCCACCAAGTGCACTTTCGAAACGCAGGTGGTGTTCCGCTGGATGAGAAGATTCCAGTGCATTTCCTTGTAACCGCCGATCAGCTCTATGAGTCCTCAGAACAGAACCCAGAATATCCTAGCTCGAGCCTTACGCGGGAGGAGCTCAATAGCGTTGTTTCAGAAGAGTGTGGTCAGAGGCTAGTGATTCTGTAAGTTGGGCTATCCCTGGGTTCATTTTAGCAATTGTTGATGAGACTACAGTTTCTTTAAGTTCGTGTTCCCAACACTACCAGTTCTGTCCCGCTCGCAATTCGATCTCGCAGCAGCTGGTACTGTGCCGGATCAAAGTACGCTTCAGAGAACACCTGTATGTCTTCTTGCTGCAATCTACGCATCAGCATTGCCATTCGCCAAGTTCGACGACTATCTCTGCCTCATCTATGCATACTCTCTACCTTCAACTGAGCGACTATGGCACATGATCCGAGCACTTGTCTTGCGGGAGGGTCACAATCCTCGCTTAGCTACATTACAAGCAGGGATTCTCTATCTTCACCGACCAGTCAGTGCAACGGAGAGCGCGGTGGCTGACACTGTGTCGGTTTGGTCTTTTGTCGGTATGCTCGTGGGTATTGCAACATCGCTTGGACTTCAGTTGGAATGCCGACCGATGGGTCTGCCCGCGTGGGAGCGGAGAATACGTCGTCGGTTATGGTGGGCTATATACGCTGAAGACAAATGGCGCAGCTTACTTATGGGGCGCCCTCCTTACATCAGAAACGATGAGTGGGACGTAACGGACTTGGAGGATGAAGATTTCTCAGTTTCAGATACTCTTCGTGATGCCTTACAGTCCGCGTCAAACGACGGCAACTCTTCGCATGAGGTTTGGTATGCTCAGCCGTTCCAGCATTTCATTCGCCTGTCTCGCATTGCGGATGAACTGCAACAGTCTTTATAGTAGGTCATTCCAAATTGTGGACGACTTGGATGCTGATCGTTATCTCTGTGTAGCGCGCTCAGGTCAGCACAGCGTTTATGCTCTGATTTCCACGCAACACTCGAGATCGCCCGTCCTCTTCTCAAGAAGTTGAAAGAATGGTCTGAGCATTTACCCATATCTCTACGCCAGCACGGTCGTCTTACAATCACAATGGAGAGTATCGCCTCACAATCTAGCTGCCTTCGGTTTGCCTGCATCCTCTTAGAAGTTTTCGTTTTTCGCGCCTTACTGCGACCGATGGTTCGCTCTGCCGCTCCGCCGCCCTTGTATGAGGAAACCCACGAAATACCTGGTTTCGCTGGTCAGTTCGACGACCTCATTAATCAACTATTTGAAATGGACGAATTTGAGCCATCGTTGGCGATTGATTTGTCAGATGAAAATGGAAGTGGCAGTGCGGTGCTCCAGGCAGCCGAAAGTTGTGCAGCAAAGATGCTCCGTACGGTTAGGCGACTAGGCTATTGGGATATGTCAGGTTTTTGGTACTCATGTATGTTATACCCTATTGTTATGTCCTTGATAGTCAACTCCAAGAACAGCGATAGAGCTGACAGCGAAGGGTCCCGTATCGGCTTTGCGACCGTCTCGAATTTCCTGATCCTTCTTCTAGTGCAGGCACCGACGAAAGACCACGCTCTTCGCGCCAAACGTCTTGTAGACCTCTGGCGGGACGCACTGCGAAATCAGAGTAAGAGTTCCTCGGTGGTTGGCCTCGGACTTGTTAGGCTGGAGGCAGGGCTGTGGGCCGGGCTAAGTAGAAATTACTACCTGCCGAGGCATGTCAAGGAGATTCTCGAGAGACGTTAGCTTAGTTTTACTGCTATATGATAATTAGCTGGTTCAACCTTTCCAACAATAAGACACTTTGACCGAGTGGTTAAGGTGCTGGCCTGCTAAGCCAGTGGGTTCGCCCGCGTGAGTTCGAATCTCACAGGTGTCGTTTCTTTTTTTTCGGCCTTCCCTTTTTGCTTGCTATTTTCTCCCTCAACTTTTGTCATCTCATGGCGTTTCATGTTTTAAATTGCTATATGGATATCTGAAAGACTTTATACATTGTCTTCTTTCAGTGGATGCACTACTACACCTTGCATGACTGCGGATTTCTGCACGTTTGTGGAATTTTGTTTCTTGTCCGCTTGATCGAGATATATTTTGATGTCCGGCAGGACACTCCAACAGTGGTTTCAGAGAGACACGCGACAGAATAAGAGTAACATCAATCTGAGGGATCATGACTTGATCTACCTTCTCATTCATTGAATACTTCCTTTCCGGAGCATTTCCATTGCCAGTACGATTGATCAGCAGATCATGCAGTGCATAGGTAGTTTCAATCGGAAGTGTTTATGGAGCCCCACGGGGAAGGCCTCCCTTTTCGCCAGCGCTAGGCTTTCCGCTCGCTCTTTTCCATCTACAAGTACGCAATCTACAACAGACACAGCCACACCATCAACCGGGCTTGCCATCCCCGAGCCATCAGACACAAACCAATGCCGTCATCGAGCAATCCGACCGAGAGAACGTTCTGGATGAGTCTGCGATAGAGCCGATCGGATATGGCGGCCCCAACACCGCGCCGCAAGACTCGGCATGCGCAATGGACGCGCTTCACAGGCACGGCACGCACACAGCCTAATTCTCGTCCCGAACAGGTCTTGGCCTTCACTCGTAAGCCCGGAAGCTGCGGAAATTCTCTGGTCATGAGTCAATGGACCGGTTGCGAACGATTCGAGACGTGAGACTATGCGCTTGTGGCAGACCGGCACCATGTGCCAGATACACCACGTGCTGTCGCCTCTGTTCTACCAGATCATAATGCGGAGAACCAGAAGCCGATCATGAATGCAATAGATTTGATGGAGGCCCTTCACTAATCACTATAGCTCAGAAACTGGGGCCGAAATCTGTGGGCTGATGACTGTCCAACTGGGCATTTTCGGCTAAATGCGATTGACGTCCGAGTTTAGCTGCTCCGCATTTCCCCTCCTTTGCTCTCCCCAACCTAGCCAGCGAGATTCCCCGCCTAGACATTCTATCTCTCCTTTCCTGCCTCCATTAGCCGCCAAAATTCCTCTGAGGCCTAATTGCAACTGCCACGCTGCCGAATAAGCCTGAAGGCTTGAGCTTGTTGAAACCCTGTCCTATACGAAAAGCTTGACCCCAGACGCAGGCGGATGAAGTCGCTCCCGGCTATCCCGGCTGTCCGGGGTTAGGCCGAGAACCAGACACAAACACCCCCATGGGGTTTGCCAACGCCTACGGATTAGGCGCCTACGGATTAGGAAATGAACTGCAGATGCCTTGTTTCGAGTGGCACTCGGAGACAACCGTCGAGACCCAACCGAAAGTCAGGCTAAATGCTGGGCCCAATCAAGCCTCGATATACCCGGCCACGAGGGAATCGCATGACATGCGGTGACGCTGCAGCTATCCAGAAGCATATGCTTACGGGCAACGTATTAGCAGGGAAGATGCAGACAACGAAACAGGCATGATTATGAAAGACGTGACTCCCCATGTAGTGTACAGGCTCGCAGATCGATTTATAAAGCCCACGCCCCCTCTCTTCCCCGCTTGCCGATCACCCAGCTTCTCCTCATACCATATCCGGGGGTATTTGGCGTCTTCGTGCTGTCTGTCTTGACTTTATTTCTCATCGCAATAGACAGCCCTCACTTCACGACCACATACTAAGACGCGATGGCTGTTGGTGTGGGCGCTGAGGCTATCTCAGGCAAGCGCGCTGAGCTCGCGGGCAACCGCGTCGGATGGCGCGGCCTGCTCAGCAGCAAGAAGACCTTTTCGATTGCATTATTTGCGTCGCTTGGTGGTTTCGTCTATGGCTGTAGGTGCTTCGAATGGAATCGGTTGTGGAGATGCTTACATTGTTCTCAGATAACCAGGGCATGTTCTCGGGTATTCTTACGATGAACTCTTTCATTCTCGCAGTACGCACCAACTATGATTGATACCCATGGCGTGACACGTTCTGACGGGTATAGACCCAACACTATGCAGAACAGACCGGTACTGCTCAAGGCATGCTTACGTCGATTTTGGAATTGGGTGCCTGGGTCGGTACTCTGGCTAACGGATATCTCGCGGACTCGCTGGGCCGTCGGCTTACGGTGGTTGTGGCTGTGATTGTGTTTTGTGCCGGTGTCATTGTGCAGGCATGCACCAAAGACCCAAGCTACGTGTTCGGTGGCCGCTTTGTGACCGGTCTGGGAGTGGGTAGTCTGAGTATGATTGTGCCACTGTACAATGCTGAACTGGTAAGTTTACGCCAATCATGATAATTAGGCCAAGGCTTGCTTGCTTCTCGTGACTGACTTGTGTAGGCACCCCCCGAAATTCGCGGCTCTCTTGTCGCTGTGCAGCAACTGTCGATCACCTTCGGTATCATGGTCAGCTTCTGGGTAGGTGCAAGCCATACTCTATCATCATTGGTCTCTAGCGCTAATGACAAGACCAGATCTGCTATGGTACCAATTACATTGGTGGCACCGGTGATGGCCAGTCTAAAGCGGCCTGGGAGGTGCCGGTCTGCATCCAAGTCTTGCCGGCCATTATCTTAGCGTTCGGCATGGTCTTCTTCATGCCTCAGTCACCACGACACCTTATGAATACTGGCCGCGAGGAGGAGTGTCTCAGCACCTTGGCCCGCTTGCGCGATGCCTCAACCGATGACATTCTCGTCCGCATTGAGTACCTCGAAATCAAGTCCCTGAAGATGTTCGAGCAAGAGACTTCGAGGAGAAAGTATCCTCAGTACCAAGACGATTCGTTCAAGAGTCGCTTTATGATTGGTGTGAAAGATTATGCCTCGTTGGTCACGGACAAGTCACTCTTCAAGCGGACCACTGTTGCAGTACGGTTGACCCCTTGCATACCAGGAGCGCAGCTGATTGTTATCTAGTGTCTTGTGATGACATTCCAACAATGGAACGGCATCAACGCGATCAACTACTTCGCGCCCCAGGCGAGTATTTTTCGCTCAGGATGGGAAATGATATAACTAACCGCGTGGTTCAGATCTTCAAAGAACTCGAACTCGGCGGTAACACTACCAACCTCCTCGCAACTGGCGTTGCTGGTATTTTCGAATTTGTCTTCACTATTCCTGCAGTGCTTTGGGTGGACAACATAGGTCGCAAGAAGATTCTGTTGGCTGGTGCTGCAGGCATGGCGATCTGCCACTTCATCTGTGCCGGACTTATCGCTACGTACCAAGGCGAGTTTGGAAGCCACCGGAGTGCGGGCTGGGCGACCGTAGCATTTGTGTGGATTTTCATCATTAATTTTGCCTATTCATGGGGTATGTTTGAGTCTCTGATACAATGAGCGCAAAACTAACAGCTAACTAGGTCCCTGTGCTTGGATTGTGGTATCGGAGGTCTTCCCGCTCAGCATGCGTGCCAAGGGAGTCAGTCTTGGCGGTAGCAGCAACTGGGTATGTATCCTTACCTGTGTCTTCAAGAGCTCGGCTAATTCCTGATAGCTCAACAACTTCGGTGTCGGCTTGGCAACCTCCCCTTTTATTGCACGATCCGCCTATGGCACCTTTATCTTCTTCGGCTGCCTGACGGTGATCGGATTTCTCTACGTCTTGTTCTTCGTCCCCGAGACCAAAGGCCGCACACTCGAGGAGATGGACGAAGTGTTTGGATCGGAGGGCATGGCGGCCGAAGACGAGGCTCTCCGCCAGCAGATCGACCGCGACATCGGTCTGACTGCTTTGCTGCATGGTGAGATGGACGCATCCGCGGAGAAGATGACGACCAAGGCGGTGCATCTGGACGACGCTCCCGTGCCACTACACACTACCGAAGCGTAAGCCGGCAGTTGCATGGTGCCGGTGCAGTCCGGTGCACGGGATGGCGTCGGTAGCCCCAGCCCATGCAATCTATTATCCTTCCTTTTGCCGGAGAGGGCTTGCTGATCCCGTGCGACGGCTGCATTGGGGCGGAAGACGAGCGGTCAGGCTGACTTGGTCGTGCAGGGTCTCTCTGGAGGCTAAATCGAGGGATGTATTTAGCCGGAATTGAGGGCCGGGGTCACAGTACATATCTTAGTCATAAATTAATGCAAACCCGAGGGTTTATCTTCAGCCAAGGAGCTAGTCATAGAGTCATCCCTAGAGAGGTAGCCGAGGCTTGAACCGTGGACCTAAACCTTGAAAAACTGAGGCCAATGCTCGTCAGCGGCTTGCTCGTGGGTTCCATGTTCCATGTTCCCCCGTGGGCGGCGGCGGGTGGAACCGCCATGCGGAGAAACCGTACCCTTCAAGGTTCCAAGTTTAGTATGCTGTCGGTCCTAACAGGCTAAGTCCGATGTCAATCCATAACTTGATGGTGTACTCAAATCGCCGTCCACCACTGCGTACTAGCTATGGTAAAGGTGAGATAGGTCAAGCCGTGCATCGAAAACGTCCAATACAGATGAAGTTCTCCCAGGTCTTTCGCCCAGCGCACCTCCAACCACTCAGCTCGATCTCGTTCTTGGGACTGTTGGAGCTCCCGCTCCCCGCACCGCGTGCCCGGGCGCTTTTGCTTCTACGTATACCTTCAGTGACAGTCTAGGCAATCTGTGCATAAGCAGTTGTGCTGTCTCACTGCTATATCCACTCCCTCGGCTGTGATTGCGACTCCGCACTATCTTCGCTCTCTAAGTTTGTTGAGACCAAGACCGGAGTAATGGATAGCCCTGTTATCGTGGATTCAGTTCTATCTGGAAGGTGTTATCCCCGGACCCAGTAATTATCATTCATGTGGGGTGGAGTGAGCAGTTTGGATGCCTCGGGGTGTATGAACTAAACTCGCAATGGATGCGGAAGAGGGCAGGGCCGGGCAGGGCCGGGCAGGGTGGTACCTACCGCTGGACAGCCGATTCTCGGAGAACTGGAGACCGTAGGCCACCGACACCAGACTCCGACGGGAA